ATCCAAACTTGCATTGGATGGCCACTAATTAGTGTCAAGTTTGTGAACATACCATTAAGTTGGGAATAATATCCAGCTGAAGCAGATCGTTCAGACTCTAAACCATTAATATCAATCCCAACATGGTTATCATCGATATCATTGAACCCGGTGCTGTATATCGTGTCAAGCTCCACAGCAACAACATGGTTGGTCTGATTCCCATTGTTGGTGTTACTAAATAGACCAAGGTTCTGGTTTGGAAGAGCTCCTGGGAGACCTCTTGTGGGTGCAATGACAAAGGCAATACCATGGCCACCAAAATGTGCATATTCAGGTATGATAGCGAAAACAAAGGTAGTAGAGAAGGTGAAAGCAGTGCTATTTATAGAGTTCTTGAAGGTTACTGGGTTTGGATAGAAGGCGTGACCCATTTGGTTGTAGGTTTCATTGGTTAGCCTCAAAAGGCCATTGGAGGTTAACTCAGCTAGGCCGTCAAGGCTTAGACTAGTGGATCGGAAGCCAGAGAAGGGGAAGTTTAGATCTTGAGAAGCTGCTATTGCTAAGCTAACCAAGACACGCACCATTAAGACAATCCTGAATAACATTGCAACTGTCTTTGTCTCTACCCACCAGTTTCTTGTTCATGTTTGTCGGGTATATTGGAGTATCCACACCATCCAAGAGTTAATGATAGAGCCAATTAGCTAAAAAATGAGGAGAACTTTGCATTCAACGGTTGAGATAATCTAACTTGTCAAACTTTCAGGTTGATCTGAAAGCACAACCCTAATTTTAAGGCAATATAAAAAACTAGTCAATTTCGGCAACTCTTCCGTGAAATTTCGCAGTTAGACATTGCTTTGATCATAGTTGTTAAAATTAGACTGGTCTGGTGGATTGATGTTAAGGTTGTACTAGTTTAGGTTTACTAAAAGATCCGCTGGTATAATAATTGGGCCAAGCCTGATGGAATTAACAGGTTAATTTATTATTCGGGTGATTTGAGTGACATCCAGTATTTTTTTAAAATATAAAATATAAAATTTATTAATATATGCATTCCATGTTTACTAGAAAAACAATTATTTTTTTTAATGTAACATTTAAAACCAATTAATATATATATTCTATACTCCAAAAAAAATTATTTACTTTTAATATGGGATTAGAAACCCATTAGTACATATATTTTATATTAAAAAAAATTATGTTTTCTCAATATGGGATAAAAATTTTTAGTTTAAATACTTAACTTAAAAATTTAACATAATATCTTTTTAAGGTGGGATAAAAAAAATTTAGTTAAATACTTAACTTAAAAACTTAATATAATATCTTTTTAATATGAAATAAAAAAACTTTATAAAATATTCTTTTAAACTTCATTATTTACAATATGTATAGTTTATATTTACGTGAATTTTTTTATATAAAATATTAAAATTTTATTATTTTTTTAGGTTGATCCAAATAGGCTTAAGTTGACCCATGAAATCCGGGACCCCACCTCTTGACCATATGAATTCTCAAGCCGAGTTTAATAACTATAGTTTTAAGTTACAGTTGAATAATTTTTTTTAATTAAATTTAAAGTTAAAAAACTAATTTCTTAAGTATTTTTATAAAAAATATTCCATTTCCCATCCTCACAGTGTAAAGTCTACGGATTCATACTTGTTGCCTGACTATTAATGTGTTGACTTCAGATTTATGTTCACACCAGTTGCTCACAGTGAACAGCTATTTGCCCTGGATACACTCTAGGTGTGAGATAAATCAATTCCAACTCATCGCAAAAGCCAAGATACTAATCCCTTATTTTGCTGTTGCGTTATAAACAAGAGTCGGCAAAATTTGAAATTTTATTTTTTGTTTAAAATTAATGTTTTTATATTTTTGAATCATTTTGATATATTACTATAAAAATAATTTTTTTTAGAAAATAATAACATATTATTTTTATATATTTTCAAATAAAAAACATTTTAAAAAATAATCACTATCATACCTCCAAATACCATCTAAAAAAATATTACAGAAAACTCAAATATAATAATCTATAATTCATCTTAGAAAAAAACAAATATCCTCGAAACATACAAAAGTAACTCGCCTCTTTCATAACATAACACAACATGTGGCATTTCTTCTTTTAATCAAGTAAAGAAAAGTTAAGGTAAAAAATTAGATTAAAAAGTGTTTGAAAGTGTGGTAGCGATTGCACTTCATTGTATATTTCACTCAAAAAAAGCATTCAAATAATTTTTTTATAATTTATTTTTGACAATAGCACATCAAAACAATCCAAAAATACTAAAAAAATAATTTAAAACAAAAATAATTTTCAAATTTTAACAAAAAGCAAATTGAAACTCACTCCTAAACAGTGCCTACAAGATGAAGCACCTAGAGAAATAGAAGTAGTCATGGTATCCAGTGACTTAATATAAAAAACCTAAAAAGTTGGTAATTGAAAACAGGTTATGTTTGATAAGCTAAATAACTGATATTATGCTAGTAGTAGATGACACCTCGTAAATGTGGTGATTAGTAGTTGTGGCAGTACCAAGTGGTGCCTAGTAAACTAGGTAATTAGTAGCTAACACCTGCAAAAGGTCCCTTGTTATGGATATGAGGACTCTCTGATGGGTTAGTAATTTTATAGAGAAAAAAGTGTAATAATATTTTATAAAGATAGATTCTGAAAATATATATGCTAAAAATATTAAGAATGAAAAGATTATAAACTTTTAACTTGAAGGATTCATAACATATTTATAACTCATAAATCTTTTTTTCTATGGAGAGGAGGGGTTAAAATGTAATTTCATCATTATAATATTTTAAGTTGTATTTTACTTAAAATAATATGTATTAGATCAATATAAAATACTAAAAGATTCGTGTAGAATCCTGAAAAAATTCTTGAAAAGTGTTGGGCTTGAGCCCATTTAAAGTGAGAAATGAGTTCAAGCATATTATTTGAACCTAAGCATGTTGAACAACCCCGAGCATGTTAGGCTTGGGTACATGCCTTAGTCTAAAGGGGTGTTGAAGTGCCTAACCCCTATCCTAGGCATTATATACTGAGCACCTGCATAATAGAATAGGCATGTGCCCATCATAAAATGGGCTCGAGCATGTTGTTTGGGCCATGCACCTATACTTAGTATGGGCTCAAACTATCATACCTGAGCACATGCTCCTTGAGCTTCAGCTGTATATTAGGCTTGAGCTTAGTAGCTCAAGCCTAATGCGCTATAATTTTTAAGTTTACTAGTATAATATTTATTACTTGTGATATAATTTTATTGTGACCCTTTTGGTAAAAAGAAGTTTTATCATCCCATTATTGCATTTTTTTACTTAAAATATATGATATGTACCTAGTTCACACATACTAAGTGACATATACCTAGCTTTTTTTTTTCTTTCAAAAAATATATTTATTTCATTTCATTGTGCAATAAAAAAGTTAAAAGACTAAAAAGCTCATAAACCCTAGAAAAAATAAATTTTTAAAAATAAATTAAAAAATTCTATAAACTTAGAAAAACAGGCTAAACCTATGATCATTTTCTTTGTTGTTGTTTTTTATAAGTAAAAACCAAACCGAATCGAAAATGATCACCTCTAATAAAAACAAAGATTCATTTATTGCAAATATAGTATGAGATGATTTAGTCTAGATTTAAAAGCTTAAGTGGAGGACTTCCCTTAGAGATTGGAGGAGAAATCTATTAATCTTTTTACCTTATTTATTATCCAAAGTGGTAATGTCTTGTGAGGTGAAGGATAAATAGATATAGAAGCCAAACTCTACTGGGATGTATATTGTCAAGTCCATGTGTGGGCTCATATCATCTCCTCCTTAATATGATACTTGTTTTTTTCTTTCAATGGTTTATGAAAAGGTTTAGTCCCTTCTAGAGTAGATGTTTTTATGTTGGTTGGCTATTCTTAATAGAATCAACACCATAGGAGTTCTAACTAAAAAAGACATTATTAAAGTTGAGGATGCATTTTGTCCAATATGTTTTCTATATGAAGAGTCAATGGAATGTCTCCTTATTTAGTGTCAAAACCACTAGAAAAATTTAGTCTAGATTCGTGGAATGGTGGGTTTTATCCTAGTGTTATCTAAGCAGTTTGTCAGCTTTTCTTTACCAATAGAAAGTTATGATTGAAAGAAAATTTCAAAGGAAGGTATAATTTATGTTTTTTTTTTTATGATTATATGGTCTTTATAGCTCATTTGTAATGACTTGATCTTTAATATATATATATATATATATATATATAAAAGAGGCCAGATTATGATACTCTGTTTTTTCTTATCTTAATGTGTGGTTAATAGCTATTTTTTCTATTTTTTCATATAATGTCCTGGATTCGCTAATATCTGCTGATGGGTTGGTGTGATGGACTAATCTTAAAAGTGTTAGACCTCTTATTATATGGTCTTCACAGGTAAATCAATGGCTAAAATGGAATGTGGATGGATCTTCCACTAGAAAACCTAGTGATCCTGGTATTGAGGGTGTTCTTTGAGATCATAAGGGTATCGTACAATGTATGTATAGATCTACACCAGTAGGGATTAAAGATTCCAATGAAGCAGAGCTAATTGCACTGATTAAAGCATTAGAACTATCATCTACTAGAGAAGAGTGTATAAGGAAGAGAATTATAATTGAATCTGATTCTTCCAATGTGATGAACCGGATGATTAAAGAGTCTAATAAACCATGGAAATTCCATGTGCTTTTCATCCTTGCATCTAGATTTTCTTCAGGTTTAAGACTGGTAAAGTATTCACATATATATTTTAAGGGAGAGTAACAGTATGACAGATGCCCTTGCAAAACAAGTTGTTACTAAAAATTATGAATTGATGACTTGGTTTTAACCATTCTTTTTTCGGATTACTTGTATATGTTATGATCACCATGGAGATTTTCATGATTTTGGCTTCTTTAAAGTTCGGGTTGATATTGTGATTTTATTAATTTCTAAGAAGAAGTAGATTGGTGGTAGTTGATAAGAGATAGAATCGAGCAAAAGATGGATCTCTAATAATATTCTACCCTGGTTGATTTTTTATTTTGCTTAGTCTTTTGAGAAATGATGTAATTGTTTCCATGTGTCCTTATAGGCTGTGGTTTGTGCCTTTCTTAGGCTTTATTACCTTTTCTTATATTAAAAAAAAACTGAGACTAGGTGCATTGGACCGGACACAATTCGACTCCCGACACCCTAGATCATTAGGTGTGCAGAACTCAATTCTCGTTTAACATTTAGATACCTTGAACTCCACTCAACTTTAACTACTCAGGGCCTCAAGCTTCCTATACTCTTTCTCGGCTTGACCAGAAGTGCTCAAGACTTTTTCTAAATGCCTGTGACCAAGTTCGGGCTTAAACTCTAGATGGCTTGACACAATACATTTTGGATATATCTTGGATTTGATACTAGCCCATTTCCTTACGTATCAAATCTAGCTACCAAAATTGTATTAAATTCAACTATGAAAACTTTTAAAACCAAATCAAAATGTTTTGCTAGTTTTTTTATGATTTTTTAAAAAACATAAATGAATAGGTTT